TGGCTCCATAACATTAATCTCTGTGAAGTCTCATGGCATATGTGAATGTGGGCTGATAAGGGCCGAGCCCACTAAAGGCTTTTGAAGCAAATGCATAGGTATCAGATTGGTGTGTCTTTCTTTAGAACGGCTGTGAACCAGACCTTGTTACCACCATCTGTTTGTAAATTTCGTTTTCAGCTGAACAGCTGGATTGTGAAAGATATATGGAATTATCCAACTAAAAAACTAAATTTGGCAAGTATACATCTTCCTTTTTTTTTTTTAAAACTCTGGATAACTTTGAAAGTTAATAATGTGCATGATTGGCAGCCTTCAGTTTTATCAGTGAACAAATCTGAATAGTTTAGAACAGGTGCTTTTCCCTACCTTAGTTCAGAAAGCCGCTAACCATTACTATGCACATCTCAAAGGCTGACCAGTGGGTAGCTGTTGATACTTGGTATTGATTTCTAACACCTTGAGTTGTGCAAGCCAGGAACCTGGGAGTTCTCTTAAACTCCTTTCCAAACCATCCAATTACCTTGAGAACCTTCTAGCCCAGGTCATAGTCTGCACACAGTTCGAATGAGGACTCGGGTCTCTGAACTCTCTTAATTTATTGCTATCCTTTACCATTCTACTTGCACCGTTGTGCTTGTGGTTCCCTAAGAGCCAGTTAAGTAATTGTGTCTGGGGAGAGAGGTTATAAGTGCTTTCCTTTTTTCACTTCGGTATTTCATTATCTTATAAACTACAAAGAACATTACTACTGTAGTCAGGAAAAAAGTCTTATTTAATAAATATAACTTCATATGCAAAAACTTGCCCCTCACCAATAGATGTCATGTTGATGATGAGACCAGCTGAGAAGATGGGAGTAGCTCACCAGTCTTATACATGCATATCACTACTATTTTGAAGACACTTGGCACATTTATTTCAATAGTCTGAGATACATATTTTTTTCAGCTTTATTGAGATATAATGGACATGCAGCCTTGTTTAAGTTTAAGGTGTACGATGTCTTGATTTGATATACTTATATATTACAAAATGATTACCACCATAGCATTAGCTAACACCTCCATCACATTACATACTTATTTCTTTTTTGTGGTGAAAACATTTCAGATCTACTTTCTTTGCAACTTTCAGGTATGTAATACAGTATTGTTAACTATAATAAAAAAGCAGTGCATTAAATTCCCAGAAGTTATTCATCTTCTAACTGGAAGTTTGTATTCTCTGACCGCCTTCTCCCCATCTCCCCCACCCTTACAGCCCCTTGTAACCACCACTCTACTCTGTTTCTATGAGTTTGGCTTTTTGAGATTCTACATGTAAGTGATATCATACAGTCTTTCTTTGTCTGGCTTATTTTACTTCCAGGTTCATCCATGTTGTCTTACCTACATTTTAATGATTTAAAAGCAACCTGGGGATTTATCTGCCAAGGATGACAGGAATGAAAGTTTCCAAAATAACCAAACGTTTACCTTCCCTGCCACGCAGTGGACCTTTCCCGCTGACAAACATGCAGTTTATGAAGTTCGTGGAGCTGGTCAAAGCTGTGCCGCAGGCCGTCCGCGCGCCGCCGGCGGATGGTGGTCTGAACTCATCTTCGTTTCTGCCTTACGTTAGTCGGAATGTTTGGGTCCGTGCTTATTTTGGCCAAGTTTTAGCAATGTGAGCTTTGTCTTAAACGCAAAAAGCTGCGAGTGTTGGAAGTGGTGACAAGAGGTAAACCCTCATGATGGGAATGAAAGCAGAGAGAGTGATTTTCTTCCCTCTTTGATTTGTTTGAACACTGCAGTTGCTCTTACTCGTAGGACACATTTTTCTAAAAGGGAGGTAGGAAGCAAAAAAGGTTAATGCCATGGCAGGGCAGGAGCCTCTGCTTTACTTGCAGACTGTCCTTTAGGGAGGCATCTGCAGGAGTTTGCATGAAAAGGCTGCGTCTTTCCTGTGACATCTTCCTCCAGCCCCAGGCCTTCTGTGCAAAGGTAATCCAGGTTTCCTGCCTTTTTTCCCCCAGAAAAAACCCCTCCAAAACACCAGCTTGTGTATGAACACTTCAATTAAAGCTTTTCTTATTAATGAAATGTCTCAAATACGCAAGCAAAAGTATAAAGAACTAGTTTAATCAACATTCATTTAGTTTTAGTAAATATTAATAATTGCTTTTAAAAATACAGATCCTATTACCCTCCCTCTGCATAGTTAACCACTGTCTTGAAATTGGTCTCTAGCTCTCATGCCTATTTTAATATTTTTATTTTTTTAAAATGTTTTATTGATTTTTTTACAGAGAGGAAGGGAGAAGGATAGAGAGTTAGGAACATCGATGAGAGAGAAACATCGATCAGCCGCCTCCTGCACACTCCCCACTGGGGATGTGCCTGCAACCAAGGTACATGCCCTTGACCGGAATCGAACCTGGGACCCTTCAGCCCGCAGGCCAACGCTCTATCTACTGAGCCAAACCGGTCAGGGCTAATATTTTTATTTCATGTGTATGCCCACCAACAACATGTAGCATTGTTTCTACTTCATTTAAATAGATCATAACTTAAACATCTGTGACTGCTTCTGATACTTGCTCTTTGCGTTGGACAATGCTTCCAGAAATTATAAATGCAGCTCAGATTACTCGCATTCACTGCTGGTTCATATTTTATTGTTTGACTGAACCCAAACTGTGTAATCATTTTTTTCCGATGCACATTTAAAGACCTAATATTTGCTATTATCTGCAGTAAGAATTCTTATGTTCCCTTGGCCACATGAGTTTCTTTGGAATCCCTTCTTTAAATCTATTTTAAGGAAGTAATCACAGGGTACAGACTGACACATTAATTGGATAAAATAGGGATCTATGTTTAACTCTGGCTCTGTACATGGCATACAGGGCACGTGGAAACTCCAAAAGCCTTAAGTCACAATGCTGGCTTCCACAGTTGGGAGAAGTTAGCATTAAGATCTGCTTGCTGGTAGATGCTTCTCTAATGTTGTGAGGTTTTGGGCCCGGGATTCAGACCTTTCTCCAATAAATCAGGGTGGGCTCATCTTTATTAGCATCTTGAGTTGATTTAATTCCAGCCAAGATCAAAGAGGCTTTTTAGGTCTTGCTTTCTGTCTTGTTCTCTCTCATTTCTAAAACCAGCAGGCAGATCCGGTTGCCCGTTCAGGGTTCCCAGTCTTCCTCCAGTGTCTTTTAACACTGCCCCCCCGCCCCCCGCCCCCAAGCATAGGTGTGACATTCTGGCTCCCTTCTCTACTTTTTGGTGCTGATCACCACACA